GTTTGTTTGCTCAAAAGTCAACTTTTCGGTCAACTCTTTCCATTTAAGCTTCAAAAATGAGAATTGTTCTTTAAATTAAATTTCGAATCTTCCGAAAACCAAACTCTACCGTACACGCAAGTCATAATACATATTACGAAATTTCTCGGGACCTTAAGTCGTTGAACGTCACATACATTCTTAAAACGACAAGTCGGGTCATTACATTATTGTACTCCTTAGTAAATGCTCATGAACTTGTGACACCGGGTTTTGAGATACCCTAGTGGTTGTTTATGGTTTGGCTTGATATTGTCTTCTTTTATTTTATATCTTACTAACATTTTAAGTATTCATGATTTCTAAGCGCATTTATGTCTCCAACTAACAAGATTCATGATTTCAAAAATAATAAAATGAGTAATTAAGTTTTTAGTTCACTGTTGGCTTGCCTAACAACGACGTTAGGCACCATCATGACCTATAATGAGTTTTGGGGAGTCCGACACTAAAATGTGATTCTTTTGGACTCAAAGAATTAAAATATGTGGAAAAGATTATAATGATATTTTTATATATAACTCCCTTTTAATGGATGCTATACCTTAACTGTTGTTTGCCCGTTAAGGTATAGCGCCCTTTAAAAGGGCGCTATATTTGAATCCACATGGCGCAGGAAAAGCAGATAAATAGAATTTAGTGTATCAAAAGAGGAATAGAGTGCTGGGTTGTGCAATGGTTAAAGGTTAGGTATGAAGTTGGTTTTGGCCTTTGAGGTCCAGGGTTCGATTCCATCCACCATCATTATTTTGTTTTCTTATTTATTTTTCATTTTTCTTTTCTTTTCATTATTTGGTTTAAGTATTTAGATATAGATACTTTAATATATATAATTACTTTTCAATGTAATTAAAATAATTTAATATTTATTGGAAAATTATGATTTTTGAATTCATTTAAAGTAAAAAAAAAAAAAAAAAAAGAGAGAGAGAAGCCTTTTATTATTTCGTTAAAAAATCTACCGACATTTTTAATAGTTGTTATTTTGTATTATACGTAAAACAAAATTATTTTTTTCTCTTTTTATTTTCAAATTAGATTATGAGTTTTATTTTATAGTTAAGATTTTCATAAGAGAATAATATATAATCTATTGCTTTTATTTTTTTATTTTTTGATATCTTTCTTTTTAAATTTAGTTATTAAAATTTTAGTTATATTTACAAAATTTTAATTATATTTTTTATATTTTTCCTGAAATGTATTTTTTATTTCTCCTTTTATTCCTTGGCTATTGTAATTGTATTATCCATTTAAAAATTTTAAATAAGAATATGGTTGTTCTTATAATCCATTAGGATTATTATTAGCTAAGTAATGGAATATAATTCTTATATTCTTATTAGAAAAACTAATTAAATGGTTGCTCAGAGTCTAAAATTTCTCTAATAAAAATTATCCTAAACTAAACTAAATATAATCATTTAATTTATGAAAAACTATTTAATTAATATTTCTATACTAAATTTTCATAAACTAAACTGTATTATAACCATTTAGTTTATGAACAATCATTTAATTAATTATCCTGATAAGAATATGAAAATCATAATCCATTAGTTAGATAATAATAATTCTTCGATTATAATTTTAAAGATTAAATAGTTATAATAATTTATATTTAATAATAAGAAAATTATAAAATTTATACTTAGAATTTCGATTAATAAAATTCATATAGTGTAAATATAACTAAAATTTTAATAACTAAATTTAAAAAGAAAGATATCAAAAAATAAAAAACAATTCAAGCAATAAATTAAACTATATATATTATTCTCATATGAAAATTTTAACTATAAAATAAAACTCATAATCTAATTTGAAAATAAAAGGAGAAAAAAATAATTTTATGTTACGTATAATACAAAATAACAACTGGTGGAAGGAATCGAACCCTGGACCTCAAAGACCAAAATCAATTTCATAACTAACCTTTAACCATTGAACCACCCAACACTATACTCCTCTTTAGATACATTAAATTCTATTTATCTGATATTCCTGCGCCATATGGATTCGAATATAGCGGCTTTTTAAAGAGCGGCATACCTTAACGGGCAAACAGCCGTTAAAGTATAACGCCCTTTAAAAGGGCGCTATATATATTTAAAAAAAAAGTCACTATATTATTTTCCATAGATTTTGATTTTTTGAGTCCAAAAGAATCACATTTTGGTTCCGGATCGGGTTTTGGGCCGTGACTGATAGAGTGAGAGCATATATGGGAGACTTTGGTCATAAATGTGTTGTCGATAAAATATATGATGTTGCTGTATTTTTTTGGATAGCTTGATTAATATAAATTTTTGTTGAAGTTATTTCATTTAAAACTGTTTGTGGTTTTCGATGTTATCAATAATATATATGAGGTTGCTGAATTTTTTTTTTGGATAGCTTGATAAATATAATATTTTGTTGAAGTTATTTTTATTTAAAATTGCTTGTGGTTCTACTTCTATAGTGAAGCTACTTTGCTTATTAGTTTCTTCCCAAAAAGATAACTTATTTTACTACTCAAAATACATTTTCTTCAACCTATAACTTTGGACAAGAAATTACTGAGTCAACATTGGTATTAACATTGATGATAAATGCTCTGCTTGCTACTTAGAGACCAAAAGCTCCATTCATATTTTCTTTTTTCTATAAACGTTGTTTTTTCTCCAACAAGTGGGCCTCTACACTGATTTTGACTCTTCATTTTCCACAGAATGTGAAACCCACCCTTACAACACGTAAGGCATAAAAGCATCAGTAAATCCTTGAAGACAACTAAAAAAAATACTTTAACCTACTTTCTAATAGTGAAAAAAGAAGAATTAAACTAAAAAAAGTATATAGATATATAATATATATATAATTCATGTATATAATATGTATAATTAATATATAATAGATATATAGTAGTTAGAAAAAGTAAATAATAAATTTGGCCAGCTATTAGTAGGGGTATACAAACCGAACCGGAAAACCGCACCAAAACAAAAAGTCAAATTAAATCGATTAAAAAACCCGATAAGGTTTAGTTTGATTTGGTTTGGTATTAAGTAAAAAATAAATCGAACCAAACCGATATATAATTATATAATTTTTATATATACTTTTAAGACTTTATATAGAATTTTTGTTAAAAAAATATCTAGAATATTTGGGATTCTCTTATGTGATGCAATATTTAATTGAATATGAAGTGTTTCATTTTTATTATCTTTAAATATTGTGTTGAATGATTACTTTCTTATCCAGTGTTATTGAAATGTGTCAATCTCTTTGTTTTTTCATATTCAAATGTCAAGATCTATTATATTCTTATATCTTTTTCGAATTTGAAGTGGTATTTCGATAATTGAAAATTAAATAGAACATATCATTATTTAGGTATCATATTAGTTTTTATGTTTAATTATTAAATTCGGTTAACTTTGAAAGTGCACATCAACGGAATTTATTGTCAGACAACTAAAAAAAATAGCTATCATATGTTACTAAGAAAATTCTCCCATAAGAATAGTTTAATAGATAATATGTTTGTTATTTTTTTTAATTTTTATTAAACATATATTTACTTATAAAATTTAACAAAGTAAGATTGACATATTATTCATGTTACAAAAAAATCCGAAAAACCCAAAAAATCCGACAAAACCAAACCAACCCGATTTATGCACACCCTAGCTATTAGTATAATGAACCCAGAAAACATGTAGTATACCATTTAAAAAAGTAAAATAGAACAACAAAAGGAGAAAAGGTTGAAGACACAATTAACGTTTTTGGGTTCTTCAGTCTAAAGTTAGCCTCCAATTTATTAAAAGACGAAGGCATGTCTTTTCTAAAAGAGGAATATTTTATTCAGAATTACCCCGCATACTACAGTACACTTATCTTTGCACCCTTCTCGTATTTTCCTTTCACTTCAAGTGGCTTTTACTGTTAGATTGAGAGAAAAAAAAAGTTGTTTTAATAAAAACTAAAAACTAAAAAATAAAATGGATTGTGCCGTCGAACTTGGGAGCTTAATTTATTCCTTAACAATTATTTAAGTATTTCTTTTTGTCAAACTTTTACATTTCTGTACAGAAATTAGACTTTTAGATAGGCTTTCAATTGAAGAAATGTCCTCCTCTATATGTTAGATCACAAGAAACACATTGCTCCTTGGTCCCTTACATCAAAAACATTCTTGTTTATATCAAGTCAAGAATAATAAAAGCCAGCTCACAATCAATGAGAATCACTTGTACCCTACATATTCATGTTTTTTTCTTCTTCTTTTTTATTATTTATTTTTACTTTTTTGATAAGGTGGTGTCTAGATGAGCTTATGTCGCACCTTAATTATTCAACTGGGTATTTGTTACCTCTCGTCAATTCGAGTACCGATGGCTCTGCTTAGTGGCGAAACCAAAAAATTCAATAAGGGCGTTCAAATTTATTCATGTGTTATGCAAGGGTGTTCAAAGTCTATTTTGTATTAATAACAAGTAATATTTTATTCAATAGCAAAGGGTATTCAGTTGACTATCCTTGATCACATATAGCTTCGCCCCTCGCCTTGCCTATCACGACTTGGGCATCCTACGTATTCATGTAACTTTACTTTTTTAAAACGGTAGTGTCCAAACCAGCTCTCCTACAACTCGAATATTTAATCGAGTATATATTATCTCTCGTCAACATCAGAGGCAAACCAGAATTATAAACTTATGGGTTCAGTATTCTAATTCTTTCAAGTTACTGGATTCTAAATTAATAATTTGTGCATAATTAAATAATTTTTTAAGATAAATACGAGATTTGGACGAAAGTTATCGGATTCAACCGAACCCGTATCCGAAGGGCTAGCTAGCTCCGCTCCTAGTCGACATAAGTACCGGATAACGTTGTCCACGAAGGCTTTAGCACCCTACCTATTCATGCATATATATAACATTGTTGAAATCCATATATCTAGAGATCTAGAAACCCCTTTCTTCCCCTCCCTTCATCCAACCAAAACCCCTCTCAAAAACAAAATAAAAATGGCTTCTATGGTTTTTGCATCAACACCTTTGAGTGCTAAATCATTTGTCAAACTAAGAACAAACTCAAAATACTCTCCTTCTTCATGTTTTGTTCCTTCACCCTTTAGGGATTCTTATTTACATTTATCATACAAGATTTCTCATGTTAAGTCTTCCAAATCTTCATTTATTCAGGGTGATGGTTTCTCTAATTTTTCATTACCAAAATTTTCAAGAGTTGCTAATTCAGTTTCTCCATCTTTGAATACTATTAAAGCTGGAGAAAAAACTGTATATCGTTTCGAAGCGTACGATATTGTAAGAACTTGAATTTCTTTCATTTATGTTAATGAATTTGAATTTATAATATATAATTCATGTTCTTTCTCATTTGTTCTTCTTATATGTCTTCTGTTTCAACCTAAACTAAATTAATGTTATACAATACACCTCATTTAACATTATTCTCTTTATCCTATATTAGATAGTATTTTATTTTCCAGGTCTAATATTTTCTATATATATATATATATTGCGATATTTGTTAGTTGGCTTATGTTCAATCTTGTTAGCATATTTACTTTAGGTCCTACGTTTTCTAAGAATTCTCCATCCGAATTTCTTTTATGCAACAGTCTTTCAATAATGTTGTCTTGAAATAATTTTAGATGGAGAAACATGGTAGTGATATATAGCCGAACACAGCTTATTTAGAACCAAGGAGCAATTGTTGTTGTTGTTGTAATATTTTCTGTTTTACTTTCTTTGCTTTCTCTCTTCTTCTTTTTTTTTTTTTTGGTTTCTAATACACTAGGTATCTCTTCATTCTCTTAAATCCTTTTGTTATTTCAAATAAATTCAAGATTTGCATTTCTTCTAACAACTTGTTTGGATGGTTGTTACCAGTTGTATTGTATCGTATTGTTACTTTAAATATAATATTTATTTTGATTGTTACTTAAATTTTATTGCATCGTATCGTTAAATCCGTCGTTACGTAACAATGAAAAGTGTCACTTTATAGAACGACTGATTGGGTATGGTCGCGTCGTTACCTTATTTTTTTCTCATCTTGCCCTTCCTTATTATTAAACAGTCATATTATATCTTTTACCCTATATTTTCATATAATAATTCTACCTTGTACCTTACATTTTTTTCTTTATAATATTGCAAGTTTATTCTGCATATTGTTGGTGCATGACATCATGAAACGACGGCAAACAATACAATCTATTCAAACGTTGTATACATCAAAATGATACAATACAATATTATACGATACATTATGAAAGTATACATAACAAACATCCAAACAAACTGTACATTTTGAGCCAAAATAGTTGAAATTATTTCAGAATTATATTTATATTGTAATAATCTAACAAATATCCTCTCCCTTTAGTACCTTTTGGGTAAACAAGTGATTTATTGTTTGTAATCTTTTACAGAGAGAAAACAAATATATCTCCCTCCGCAAATACAGTGGGAAGGTTCTGCTAATTGTTAATATTCCAGAGCAAGGGTATATCTTCTTCTTCTCTATTCTTTTTGTAAATCCCCTTTGACCATAAAATAATTGACCACTGCAAAAGATTTTATATTTTCTCAGATTTTTGTCTATTTCACTAGCTTTCATTGGCCTTTAAAATAAAAAAAATAACAAAAAAGAAATTCTCTAAAATGGTGTTTGGGATTACAAATCACAAAAGTCACTAAACTAATTTTTCAGTAACCAATAAGGCACTCAACTTTGCCCAATTAACATATAGGATATTCTCCTTTGTTTTTTGTGATTTTTTGTGAAACTTAGGTAAAGTTGAGTGATTTCTTTTTTGTTACAAAAAATTATTAAGTGACTTTGGTGCAAAAAAAATAAAAAATGAGTGACCGTTCACGAAATTAACCCTTTTTGAACCATAATGGATATCACTCTAGTTTTTATCATAGTCCCGGAAATTAAATAACCGATCTTCAATTCTCTATATAAATAGGAAGTAAAATAGTGTATATATATGTTCTCTCATTACTTATTTTATGCGTAGCAAGACAGATCTAGAATTTAAAGTTTATGNTATATATATATATATATATATTCATATTCATGCATTCATGTGTTATGTTCACATTATTCCTAATTTTTAGCTGAAATTTTGTATATACTGATTTCAGTTCTGATGAGACAAAGTCGGAAATCAAGCTTCTCAATGAACTGCATAACAGGTACAAAGACGGAAAACCTAAAGGTTAGTCGTCTATTTTATTTTAATTTACAAACTTATATTCTTTGTCAAATTTGTATTTTTCGCAATTACTTACAAATTAACTAATCGACCCTTTAAAATGTTATTGTTACTATTACTTTTATCCTTACTTCGTATCTTCCTCTTCTATATATAAAAATAAAATAAAGCTTTGGAAATAATGGAAAGATTCAATAATATTTGGATTGCTTCCTTCATAGTTTTGGTATATGCTCTTCATATTTCCATTGGTTTTTCTTCCTTTCATAGAGGTTACTCAATTCATATGACCTTTTTATTGTCATCGTTAAACTTGAACCTAACACCTCCGTCTTAAAAAGAACATAATATAAAGTACGAGAGTTAATTAACACATAATATCTGTGTTGGTTCAGAAATAATTTTACTATTTTAAAGGTATTTTAAATCAATGATTAATTATATAAATATCATAAAAGATATGCACATAGGAGTTTCGCAAGTTTGAAAACGACGATAGGAGATATAGAAGAGTTACACCAGGGATCTGCATTGAGTATTTATACTTGTTTACCTTAGTTATGGATGAGTCAATCAATAGTACATATATAATGATGTCTCATGGTGTATATATACAGAGGCGGATCCAGGATTTAAATTCTATGGGTTCAATTTTTAAGATGTTTAACATTAAACCCATTATATATTTAAAGTTATGAGTTCAAATCTATTATTTTTGTAATTTTAATAAATTTTTACACATAAATTTCTACTCCGCGTCAAAAGTTATGGGTTCAATTGAACCCGTAACTCTCACACTGGATCCGCCTCTGTATATATGCTTATTTGAGATTATATGGTGTCAATTAATGAAACTAGTGAGGGTGTCATCCAAAAACTTAAAATTAATAAAAACACTCTAGAAAATAAGAAGTATTAGTATAAGTAGAAATAAGACAGAATATATGCATGTAAATTTAGCTCGACAAAGAAAAGTAAAATCGATGTGACATTAGATGGAATCATAAAGCCTAAACATAGACGCTAAAGCAACGCTACCTAGGAAAATGAATATTAGGCTTCATATCCTCACATATCCAAAAATATAGATGTTACTATGGATGTGTCCTAAAAGTTTAGATAAGGTCATAATGATCACATTCGGAAAAAGGTTCATAGAGCACAAATAAAAAATAAAATAAGATAAGGTCGCTTAAGATTAATTTGGTCATATTTTGCTTCCAAATGTACCAGTACATAGGTCATGTGAAATCCTGATGATTGAATGTGTTAAAAGGAATGAGGTAGATCTAAATCAGAGGGAGTAAAGTTGTCTTAAGACCTGCAATCTTTCGAAATCCATATAGACCAGCAATAAATTGAACACAATTAGTGGTGAAAAAATGAATTAAAAAAATAGTTATCTATCTATATTATTCGTTAAAAATGGGTAGAATAATAAACTTTTAAAAACGAATCAAATATGGATAAGATTCATATTATCCACTTAAAAATGGATAGTCAATAGATAACCAATGATTTAACTTTTACATTTGGAAAGGCATAAATTGGGGATTCATGAAGTATGGGAGACTGAGAATGCTTCCAAATTCAAATTCAAGAAGCTATAATATGGATATCTATATTGTCCGCCGATTAATCCATTTTCTATCCATATATATTAAAGAGTCCAGCCGAATATTTTATCTGTTTTTACATTATCCGTTTTTGACCCATCCATATATCTCACCCGACCCGCCCGTTTGCCATTCCTAAACACAATTAATGAAAGCAAAATTTTTTATGTGTAGGCGGTCTGATAAAAATTACTCACATTTGATATTTACACCAAATCAATAAATATATGATATGTGTTTGCACATAGACTATTAGACCAGTTAACTATGATAAGTTCATAATGTTTAGTTTAATTCGGGTGCAGATAAGTATTTAATGATACCAACTAATTAGGATTAAGATTTAATCACGACGGTATATTTATATTAAGTTCAGTAATTATCATAAATCTTTTTAGTTTTCTCAGGATTTTTATTTTAGAAAGGAACCTTTAATATAAAAGAATAACTCAAGTTATTAAGTATTGGAATGATAAGTATGGACGTCATCATATCGATCCGTAAGGTTCTACTAGACACTTTTTCATGACTTGTAGAACCTATGAACCTAGAGCTCTGATACCACCTTGTCACGACCCAAAATCCAACTAGTCGTGATGGCACATAACCCAACCCACTAGGTAAGTCAACTTTTAATTATCCAATTTCAATAACAATTATTAAAGCAATTTAAGTAAATAATTATCTTAACCTTATATATTCCCCAACAATTGGTAGTACAAATTATGAGCTTCTAAGAATAGAGTATACAAAGTGGAAATAAAATAATTACATAGTCTGTTTGAATAATACATAAACAGAGCTTTTATAAATCTAAGGCTACCATAAACAAGAGGTAGTTACAACAGGAAGGCTGGTACATCTTCAAATCCCGCAACCATCGAGCACATCAACAACAACAGCCAACATCTGCACGCAATGTGAAGAAGTGTAGTATCAGTACAACCAACCCCATGTACTGAGTAAATAACAAACCTAGCCTTAGGTTGAAAGTAGTGACGAGCTTCTACCAAGGTCGGGTCCAAAACTACTAGTCCATAACAGTCCATAAAAACATAAAGCAAATAATACCAGAAGTAACTCAGAGATAAAATGCTCAGCTAAATCATGATTTCAAAAATAATAGTTCTTCCTTTCAAGTGCATCAGTGAAAAACCCAAATCGTTTACCGAAATTTCCAAAAATATGAATAAGTTTGAAAGCAATAATTTCCCAAAATTCTTTCAATAATAAATGATATGTTTCATTTTCTTTCCAGATAACCCGTGTAAAACAAATGCATCACTATGCCCATCTGTCAACATGTGTGAGAAATCATCAATAATGTGATACCGTACAACAAGAGAAAAATACATCTTTATGCATATATGTCATGTGTACATGTCAATGCAATGTATCTCAGAGATTGTACTCATGTACTCACACTCTCAGAATACTCAATCTCACTGTCTCGCATTCTCTCTCACTATGCTCAGCACACTCAATCACTCAGCGCTATATAATACCTGTTACGGCGTGCAGTCCGATCCCTGTTTATAGTCGACTGCGCTTACTGGGGGTGTGTACAGCCTCATGAGGGGCTCCTATANATATATAAAGCCAATACGGCCTGCTGCGGGCGGGCAACCCCGATCCACATAATAATCCTCACAATCAGGCCCTCGATCTCTTTCAGTCATCAATCTCTCTAGTCTCTCTCTCATGGGCTTACAATATCATGAAAATAGCCCAAAAATAATGATATGATGTATCAATAAATAATAATAGAGACTGAGATATGATATATAATGACATGAATATGACTGAGTATAATTTTTAATTTAAAAAAAATAATTCACAGCAATATGACCTCTGTGGGTCCCAATAATACTGGCACATAGCCTCAGCATGATTTTTAATATACATTTTAACTCAATTTTTTTAACACATAAAATCGCATGGAAAATGCCAAGATTATTTAACTACAAAATTCCACAGAAAGAATTATGTCACAATTTCTATAGTGCACGCCCACACGCCCGCCACCTAGCACGTGCGTCACCTCCCAACAATTCACATAATACATATATTCAGGGTTCATACCCTCAGCTCCAAGATTAGAAGAGTTACTTACCTCGAACAAACCAAATCCAATGTCGAGCAAGCTAAGCAATGCTCTAGAAATTTCATTATGCGCGTATAACTTCCAAACGGCGCGAATCTAGTCACAATTAATTTGATTCAGCTCACTAAAATTATAAGAATTAATTCCATATCAAAATACTAATATTTATTAAAAATCAGAAATTACGCCCCAAAAATCATCCGTGGGGCCCACGTCTCGGAATCCGATAAAACTCATAAAATTCGAACCCTCATTCAACCACGAGTCCAACCATACCAAAATTACTCAAATCCGACCACAACTCGGCCTTCAAATTCTCAATTAAAGTCTATGAATTTTTCTACTATTTTCAACTCAAAACACTAATTTGTTGATAAAAACAATAATAGATTCGTATAATTTAACCAAAACCAAGTTAGAATCACTTAACCCCATCCATATGGTGAAAATCGCCTCAAAACTCGCTTCAATTCGAGCTCCATAGCTCTAAATGTGTTAAAATGGCCGAAACCTCAAAATATATCTTTTGTCTAGGCATTTACTCTTCGCGATCGCGGAAAAAATGCTTCGCGATCGCAAAGCACAAAAATTTTCAGCCCAAAATTTGCCTTTCGCGATCGCGAAGAACAAATTCCCAGCACTTTCAGACAGCCTCTAGTGTAATAATCATAACTTTTTGTACAAAACTCTAAATTGCAAATGGTTTAACTTTATGAAAACGAGACACCAAGAGCTATAACTTACATTTGTTGCTTATCTCCCAATTCTTTATATATTGCGAGATATAATCTTCCATAGTCAGCCCTGTGCAACAGAGATTTCCAAACTCTTCCCGAATAGCCTATAGTGTATTTATCATAACTTTTTGTACACAATTCCAAATGATAAATGGTTTATATTTCTGAAACCTAGACACAAAGGGCTACAACTTTCATTTTTGGATCATCTCCAAATTCTATATTGATTACGAGATATAAGCTTCCAAAGTTGGGTTAGTGCAGCAGGAGTTTCCTCTACGCGATCGCGAAAAGTCTTCCGTGATCGCGATTCACAATGCCCAAACAGCAAAATTGCTCTTCGCGATCGCGATCACGATGCATACCTCTGTGGCCAAAAACCAGCAACTAAGAATGGCCTAGAAATGGTCTGAAACCACCCCGAAACTCACCCGAGCCCCTCGGGACCTCAATCAAATATACCAATAGGTCCTAAAACATCATACGAACTTAGTCGAAGCCTCAAATCACATCAAACAACGCTAAAACCACGAATCATGCCCCAAT